TCTCCAGCATTCCCGGTGAGGCCCGGCCCCACGCGGACGCCCACGCCCTGGCGCCGAGTGGCCCCGGACTTGCTTGGGACATGACGTGGACACACGGGAGCCCGTGGGGGTGTCCCCCGTTAGTCTCGTGAATGACTGGCAAGACCCAGGGTGAAGGAGGCGGTGGGTGGGTGGGGGAGGGAGGCCAGGACAGATGGAAATGTCAGCCGGGTGCTGAACATGGTCCTGCTGGTGGGCTCGGCCCCCACTGCCCGCAGCGGCAGGGAGGGCTGTGGCCCGCGCGGAGGCCATTGGCTGAGATGACCTCAAGCTCCTCGAGAGTTCTTAAGGTTCTGTCGTGGCCACAGTCGTTTGCTCAGAGACCAGAGTCTCGCTACCCTACCCCACCCCTGCTGGCTTCCCAGGCCTGCAGGTGGAGGGGAGCAGGGGCCCGCATGCCGATGCTGTGCTGGCCTGAGAGGAGAGCCCGGGGCCCACGCCCTCCCCCAGCGCCCTCGCCAGGTTCGGGAGCCCTGGCTGCGCTCTTGTAGTAAGGGCTTCTGCGTGAGGAGTGACGGGGCTGTGACTGTCTCCTCAGCGGCCAGTGACAGTGACTACCCTCCGGGGGAGATCTTCCTGGACAGCGACGTGAACCCGGAAGACTCCAGTGCAGACGGTGTGCTGGCAGGCATCACCCTGGTGGGCTGTGCCACCCGCTGCAACGTGCCACGCAGCAACTGCTCTTCCCGAGGGGACACCCCAGTGCTGGACAAGGGCCAAGGTGAGTCTGGGTCTGGGCCTGGGCGGCTGCCTTCTCTGAACCCCACGTTCCTCCCCGCTGCCCAGCCTGTCAAGCTCACCTTCTCCTCATGCAGGGGAGGTGGCCGCTGTTGCCAATGGGAAGGTCAACCCATCTCAGTCCACGGAGGAGGCCACAGAAGCCACAGAGGTGCCAGACTCTGGGCCCAGCGAGACAGAGGCAGCTGCAGTGCGGCCTGGGCCCCTCACGGAGCACGTCTTCACCGACCTGGCCCCTGCCCCGGCCCCCAGCGCCCAGCCTGGCAGGTGGGCTGTCTCAGGATGGGGCAGACAGAGGGGAGGGAGGATGGCAGAGGTGGGCGGGGACAGGCTCCCACGGGCCACCCTGGAGCTGCCCTCCTTCCTGCAGCGAGAACGGGCCGGAGGCCGACACGGGGGGTGTGCAGCCAGAGCCGGAGCCCAGCGCAGACCCTGCGGGGGCCAGCACCAGCGCCGCCCCCACTATGTGGCTAGGAGCCCAGAACGGCTGGTAGGTGGGGCCCTGGGGCAGGGGTGGGGGGTGCCCCTGGCGAGCGCCCCTGCCCACCATTGCCTCCTCCCACAGGCTCTACGTGCACTCAGCTGTGGCCAACTGGAAGAAGTGTCTGCATTCCATCAAGCTGAAGGACTCCGTCCTGAGCCTGGTGTACGTGACCTCCAGCGGAGGCCGGGGCGTCGGGAGGGGTCCGGGGTGGCCCGGCCTCCACCCGCTCACCACCATCCCGTTCCAGGCACGTGAAAGGGCGAGTGCTGGTGGCCCTTGCAGATGGGACTCTGGCCATCTTCCACCGAGGCGAAGGTGAGGCCTGGGGGCTGCGGGTGGGTGAGCAGCCACCCCTGGAGTGAGCGGAGCTGGGCCCTGGCCAGGCCTGAGCGGGTATCTCGGGCTGTCTGCAGATGGCCAGTGGGACCTGAGCAACTACCACCTGATGGACCTGGGCCACCCGCACCACTCCATCCGCTGCATGGCCGTCGTGTACGACCGCGTGTGGTGTGGCTACAAGAACAAGGTGCACGTCATCCAGCCCAAGACGATGCAGATTGAGGTGAGTGCTGGCGCCAGGAGGGTCTCCAGCAAGGGCGCTGGCATTAGAAGGGGGCCTTCTAACAGGCATGGGGGGCTTCGTGGGGCCAAGGGAGACGTGCTCAGGGAGACGGCTGCGTCGGGGCTAGCACGAGGGCCCTGGGCTGCGGGTGCCAGTCTGCCTGGATTCCGCGTGCTGCTTTACTCTGCCCCAAGTCTGAGCAACACCCCGTGGGCCCCGCTCACTTCCCCGTGGCCACATGGCCTCAGGCGGAGGGGCCCGGGTGGGTGGTGACAGCTCCTCCTAGGAGCCTGGACCCTATGGAGCAAAGCAGGCAATGGAGCGAAGGTCGCAGTGAGCTGCGGACACGGACAGTGGCTGTGGCAGGTTCAGAGTCCCTGCCCTCCCGCCCCCGGCCCCTGTTGACACAAGCCGCCACGACTCCACAGAAATCATTCGACGCCCACCCTCGGCGGGAGAGCCAGGTCCGGCAGCTGGCGTGGATCGGTGACGGGGTGTGGGTGTCCATCCGCTTGGATTCCACGCTGCGGCTCTACCACGCCCACACCCACCAGCACCTGCAGGATGTGGACATCGAGCCTTACGTCAGCAAGATGCTGGGTGAGGGGCGGCGCCGGCTGGGGAGGCCGGGCAGGGAGGGCCCCTGGCCCCGGCCGCGCTCACTGCCCCCTCCCCACCAGGCACAGGCAAGCTGGGCTTCTCCTTCGTGCGCATCACAGCCCTGCTCATCGCGGGCAACCGCCTCTGGGTGGGCACCGGCAACGGCGTCGTCATCTCCATCCCGCTGACTGAGAGTGAGTGACCCCCACACATGCCCAAGTGGTGACGGCTGCTGCTGAAGGCCAGGAGTTGGGGTCGGGGTGGGGGGCACACTCTGCTGGGCCACTCGGTGAGGGGCAGGCTGATGGGGTGCCACCCTCGCTGTGGGCAGCCGCCCCCCCCCCACCCCTCCCATGACTCCTCTCTTCTCCCTTCCATGCTCTGCCCCCCACCTCTCCAGCCGTGGTCCTGCACCGAGGCCAGCTCCTGGGGCTCCGAGGTGAGTCGGAGCACCTGTCCCTCCCCTGTAGAAAGACGCCCCCACCCGAGATGCCCTGTGGGCTGAGGCCGGCCTTGCTCCTTGGCAGTGGGCATGCTCTACCCTCTGCCCCTTGCCTGGTGGAGATCGAGTCTCCCACTCAGGCTCGGGTCCTGGGGCCCTGCTCTCTCTCTAGCCAACAAGACATCTCCCACTTCTGGAGAAGGGGCTCGTCCGGGGGGCGTCATCCACGTGTACGGTGATGACAGCAGTGACAAATCAGCCAGCAGCTTCATCCCTTACTGCTCCATGGCCCAGGCCCAGCTCTGCTTCCATGGGCACCGCGATGCTGTCAAGTTCTTCGTTTCTGTGCCGGGTGAGGAAGGGCTGGGCCCACCCCCTGCAGGGCTGCACGCGGCCTCCCCTTCGGGAACCTGCGAGGGATGGGGGGTCCGGCTGCCCTGCTGAGATCCCTGTACCCGACGACAGGGAACGTGCTGGCCACTCTCAATGGCAGCGTGCTCGACAGCCCGTCCGAGAGTCCCGGACCAGCCGCCCCCGCCTCTGAAGCCGAGGGCCAGAAGCTGAAGAACGTTCTGGTGCTGAGTGGTGGGGAGGGCTACATCGACTTCCGCATCGGTGAGTGGTCGCTGCCTGGGTCACCGTGTCCCCGGCAGGGTCACCGTGTCGCCAGCAGGGTCACCTCATCACAGCGGCTACGGTCTCCCCAGGTGACGGAGAGGACGACGACACGGAGGAGAGCACGGGAGACGTGAACCAGGTGAAGCCCCTGCTGTCCAAGGCCGAGCGCAGCCACATCATCGTGTGGCAGGTCTCCTACAGCCCCGAGTGAGGCCTCGCCTCCAGCGCCCTGCCCGCCCGACGCCAGCGTGTACATACGACCCCACCCACCTGCCCACTGCCCGCCCTGCAGGCGGCCCGGCACCAGCCCCTCTTCTAACCTCTCAACCTGCAGCTTTCACCTTATGGCCGGGCGTCCCCGACAGTGGGCAGCGGCGCGGGTCTGGCTGGCAGGGAGGCAGGCAGACGGGGTGGCGCTCTCCCCACGGAGGGGAGCAACCTCTCCAGACGTGCTTTCCCCGGCAGCTTGCAGCCGGCCCCCCATCCCGAGCTCCCACGTCCCAGGGGCCCTTCGGGGCCAGAGCAAGGCAGGCTCCCCTGGGAGGTGAGGCTGGGGGGAGGCCCTACAGGCAGCTCCTGGCTCCCCACAAGGCCCCCCGCTCCCCTTGCGCCCGGAGCAGGAGGTAGGGGTTTCAGCCCGCCATGTCTTCCCAGCCGGAGCCCACCTGCCTTTGCCTGCGGCCTGAAGGGGTGGGCCTGTAGCCGGTCCCGCTACTAGTCTTCCCTGGACACCCCCCCACCCCGCTCCCTGCCACCCTGGGAACTGGCATGAAAGCACGTGACCAGCCTGCCTAAGGCAGCTGCCCTCTCCCTGCCTACCCTGTGGGGCAGGCTCTCCTTGGCTCTCCCTGGGCGACGACCCCCCCCCCCCCCCCCCCCCCCCAGTAAGAGCGGGCTCTGGAGTCCTGTGCGTCCCAGAACCCCCTGGGGTGGAATTTCTCAGGCTGCCAGGGCAGGCCCAGGCCTCAGGAAGAAGGGAAGGCCCCGGGCCTCTCCTGGGGTCGGTCCTAGGATGCAGGCGCAGCCTCAGGGTGACAGGGAAACTTGTGGCCCGGGGCCCGCCTCCCGCACAGTTTCCAAGGAGCCCAGCTCCCGAGACACACTCTTAAGTGCCTAGGGCTGGCAGCGTGGCCGGCTCTGGGCGTGGATGGCCGCTGGCTTGGAGGGGTGCCGCCTGGACTGCCGCCTCCCTGAGCCTGCTGGAGAGGGGCCGCTGGTTGGGGCAGCCCCCCGCCCTGCTGCCCACCCACCTCCCACCAGAGAAGCACACGTCTCCGGCAGCCCCGCCAGCCCGGCCACAGCCCCGTGCAGCCGCAGGCTTCCCCCATCACCCTGCCACCCTCCACTGTGATGTACGTCCCGTCCCTTGTCTGTTCCCACGGGCGTGCAGTGACTCGGGGGCTAGCTGGGTGGGTGCAGCTGGGGGGAGGGGCTGGGCGGACGTTCTCCTCAGGCTTTGGCCCTGCAAGCGAACCCACGTATCTGCTCTGTATGTAATAAATGTCTTAACACCGTAGCTCTGTGCTGTGTCCCTGGGCCCGGACCAACGCGAGCACAAGGACTTCACTTTATTGTAAACAGAAGTGCCGGCCTGCGTGAGCGCCGGCCCAGGTTCTTTTCCGCGCGGGTTGCGGACCGGAGGCCCCTGGGGCCCGCGGGCCGCGCTACTCGTACAGCCAGTGCCCGGCGCTGTCCTCCCAGCACAGCAGCTCGTCGCCGCGGAACCAGAGCGCGATCTCGCGGCGGGCGCTCTCCACCGAGTCGCTGCCGTGGATCACGTTCCTGCGGGAGAGCCGCGTGAGCGCCGCCGGCCGCCGGGCATCGCGACGGGTTGCGCGCGCCACGCGCTCTGGCGGCCTTACTTGCCAACCTCGACGCAGAAGTCCCCGCGGATGGTGCCGGGCGCCGCGTCGGCCGGGTCCGTGGCGCCGATGAGGGCCCGAGAGGCGCGCACCACGTCCAGCCCCTGCCACACCTGCGCACGGGCGGGCAGCGGCTCAGCGCGAGGCCGGAGACCGGCCGCCCGCCGCCGCGCCCCGCGCCCGCCCGCGGCCGGCACTCACCATGGCCACCACCGGCCCGGAGCCCATGTAGTCCACCAGGCGGCCGTAGAAGGGGCGCTCGCGCAGCTCGGCGTAGTGCTCGCGCAGCAGCTCCTCCGAGGCCTGCGGCGGGCCGGGGAGCGGGGGGGGGAGTCGGACAGCGCGCGCCGGGGCCCCCCCCGCGGCCGGCCGCCCCCCCCCGCGCGCCCCCCCCCCCCCCCCCGCGCGCCCTCACCTGCACCAGCTTCAGCGCCACCAGCTTGAAGCCTTTCCTCTCGAAGCGCCGCACGATCTCGCCCACGAGCCGCCGCTGCACACCGTCGGGCTTCACCGCCAGGAAGGTGCGCTCGTGCACGCCGGCGCAGGCTGCGGGGACCCGCGGGGCGCGGCGCGTCAGGCCCGGCCGCCCCCGCCCCCTCCCCGGCGGCCCGCCCCGGCCCGCGCCGCTCACCCGCCGGGAAGAGGTGGGCGAGCACCGTCAGCACCAGGCAGATCATGATGGCGGCGGCGGCTCGGGCCGGGCGGGGCCTGCGCTTAAAGGGGCCGGGCCGCGGCCGGGAGGGCGGGCGCGGCGGCCCACGCCCCCCGCCCCAGGCCCCAGGCGGGTGCCGCCCGCGCTCTCCGTGCAGCGGACACCCGGGGAACAGCCGCCCCCACCCCAGCCCCAAACTCAAAGAAACCACACCCCAAGGCTACTGCTTCTGCCTTTATTCGCGCGCGCTCTGCCCTACGCCCGGCAGACGCCAAACGCCGCAGGGACGCGGAAGGGCCTGGAAGGGCCGGCGTCGGCGCGGGGGCTGCACACGGCCCGCCCGCCGGCCGCGGCCTCACCGCCAGCGGCCGTCTCAGCGCCGGGGGCCGGAGGGAAGAGAAGACACGGGGCCCGGCCTCGTCGCTGGGGTGGGGGTCGGACGCAGGCTCCCGGGGGGCCCGCCCGCTCCGGCGCCTCACGCCGCGGCGGCCCTGGCCCTTCTCCGCGCCTCCAGTGCAGCCGGGTAGTCCCAGGGCCGCTCCCGCGTCCTCCCGACGTTCAGCATGGGCTCCTCGGCGCCGGCGCGCCCGCTCTCCCGCCGCTCCGCTAGAATCATGGCCCGGAGGAGCGGCGGGTAGGGCACGAGCTGCGGGGCGTCCTCGGGCGGCGCCGGCCTGACAGCCGCGAAGGCCGCCTCCTCGTGCTTGGGCACCAGCCTCCAGTCGTGGTGCATGACCTGCGCGATCTCGCGGGCCTCGGTCTCCGTGCGTCCTGGGAAGAGAGCGCCGGCGCGCGTCGCGCACACCCTCGCGGCTCAGGCCGCGGCGCCCCCCCCCCCGCGGCCCCAACGCCTCACCTTTGAAGGTCAGGACGCCCCACGCCTTGCCGTGCTCCAAGTTCTGCAAAGCAAGGGCAGACACGGGGTCGGCTGAGGGCGCGCGGGCCCGGGCGGCGGCGCGGGGCGCGGCGGGGCGGGGCTCGCACCTGCGCCGTGTAGTCGGGCCGCACGCGCGTGAGGCGCCAGTAGCACGGCTCGTCGTGCTGCCACAGCCAGGACTTGCGCGTGACGAGGCGGCCCAGGCCGAAGAGCGGCAGGCGGCTGAGCAGCTGCAGCAGGCTGCTCTCGCGGCGCACGTCGGCCCAGGCGCGCGGGGGCAGCCGGCGGCCCGAGTGCGGCCGCGTCAGCGTCTCGTAGTCCAGCGCGTAGCGCTGCGAGTCGCGCGGCCGCTCCCGCTGCTCCCGCAGGGCCCGCACGCGACGGGCCAGCTCGGCGATGAGCCGCGGCCGCACCTTCCTCCGCGCCATGGTCCGCGTCCCGCCGACCGGAAGCCGCGCCGCCGCCGGAAGCGGTCGGTGTCCCGCGCAAAGGCGTCCGGGCTCGCCCGGAAGCCGTGGGGAGGCCGGGCCGGCCATGTCGCGGGCGGGTGCCGGGAAGGCGGGGAGCTCCCGCCGGGGCGGGTGTCGGCGGCGGCCCCCCACCTGGGAGGTCTCAGACTCGGACGCAGAGGCCCCCGCGGGCGCGGAGGCGGGCGCGAGCGTGCCGGGCCCGGCCGAGGAGCGCAGGGAGGCGGCCAGGGCGCTGCGGCCCGAGCAGGCCCTGCGGCGCGTGGCGGTGCGCGTGGACCCAGGTGCGGGTGGCCGCGGGGCCCAGCGCCTCCCCCTGAGGGCGCCCCAGGGAGGGCGGCATCCCCGAGGCCTCCTCCCGCCCGGGAATTGGTGTGGGTTTCCCAGCGGGGACGCGTTTGGCCTGGGGGCGACCGGGTGGTGCCCTTGTGCGCGAGGCAGGGAAGTAGGGACCAGTGTGTCCCTGCGGCCCTTTGCAGCCGTTCTGGAAGATGCCGGCGCCAGTATCCTGCTGGAGGCCCTGAGCGCCCTGGGCTGTGAGTACCACTTGGAACCCCAGCGCCCGGCCCGCAGCCTCAGGTGGACCAGGGCGAAGCCGGATCCTTGCCCCCGCTCCGTCAGTGCCCTGGTTTGTACAGACCGCAGCCTGAGTGTTTTAGGTCCAGATTTCACCCACCCGGCGCGCTTTCCAGACCTGTTCCCTGGGGAGGAATCACCCGAGCTGCCCTGCTGCGTTGCAGGGTGCCTGTCGGTAGACCCAGACCGGCCGTGGCAGGAGGTGGGGTACGGAATGTGGGTCCTCCGTACAGGAGCCCTGCTGGAGCCTGGGGTTGACTGTGGCCGCAGGCCTCAGAGCCCCCGGGGGGGCCTAAGGCAGGTGCCCGGGGCACATGAGGTTGAGGGTGGGCAGCAGGGCCTCTGGATGTCCCCACAGGTGCCACCTGAGGTGTGGGCTGCGGATGACCAGGATCTCCTCCTGCTCCTGGAGCCCGAGGAGTTTGTGCGGGGCGCCGTCCAGCTGACCCAGGTGCTCTGGCGGGGACACTGGGCCTCCACGGCTGTCGAGGGGCTGGGTTCCTCGGCCTGGGGAAGCTGCTCTGCCTGCACCCTTCCCTGCTTAAGGAGGGGGGGGCGGATAGGGCGTGCACCGGCCTGGAGTTCTCAGCAGCAGCTTTTGAACAGTTGTGAGCGAGATGGGGAAGCCAGGTGGGTTCTTGGCCTGGGAGCAGATGGAAACCACGGCTGTTTCTGGAAGATTCCCTGGAGTAGCGAGCAAGAAGTCAGGGACACCCTTTACAGGTGTTGGTGTTGGTTGTCGGGCATTTATCAGGTGCGTGTTGTATGCCAGGCAAATGGCAGGCTGGGGTGCGGAGGCAGAGCAGAAAGAGTGGGGGATGGGGCTCCGTCTCGGTGCCAGGGATGTGCCCGGGGCTTCCATTGTCCTTTGCCTTCATTCGAGGCCCGAAGCTGGTTTCCGACAGGAGCTGGCTGGATGGCCAGAGGAACACTGCATCAGTCTTCCCGGTACCACGGAGGCACTCCCAGGCTCGCTTCTCTTCTGTCTGCAAACTGGCCGTGGCCTGGTAGCCCGAGGGTCCTGCCTGCCACAGCCCCGAAAACAGGCATGTTCAATCTTGGCTTGCAGACCTGCGGCCCCGCCTGCTCGGTGCCCTGGATCCCTTCCGAGAGCCCCGCCAGGCCCCACGTAGCCGTCGTCGGGCTGGATGCCCACCTGTGGTACTGGTCACCCTAATGCCCTTAGGCCCGGCTGGGATGGAAGGGTTTGGGGGAAAGGTGGGGGCGTTGGGGGAGCAGAACCGAAGGAGGGCAGGAACGGCAGGGTGTCCGGGGCCGGAGGGACGGTCACTTCTGCTCAGGTCCCACCAGCCCAGCAGCACCCGGGAGACGCAGCAGCCAGAGAGTCCGGCGGTGGCCCGTGCCGTGTTGCCGCTCAGCTGGCCCACGGTGGAGGAGGTGAGGGCCGGTCGAGCGGGGCGAGGGGTCTGCCCTTGGTCCTGGTGCTTGGGCCCCACGGTGCTGATTCTGGACCCAGGCGACACGTGGGGCTGGTGTCAGCTGGGGTCCCCGAGGGCAGCCTCCTCTGACCCGCTCCGTGGGCTCAACCTCTGCAGGCCCTGGTGCTCCTGCAGCTCCGGGCACACGTGGATGTGCTGCTCGTGGCCTCCTGGCAGGAGCTGAGTCGGCACGTGTGCGCCTTCACCAAGGCGTTTGCGCAGCGCCCCTTCAAGTGCGTGACCCCCCGCCCTGACTGGTGGCTGTGGCCGGGGGGTGGGGGGGTACAGCAGCACTTGGAAGGGTGGTAGCTCTCTGGTCTTTTTGGGAGCAGAGAAGGCAGAGGACTTTGTCGAGTTGGGGGAGTGGGACATTCAGAAGACAAGAAGCTTCTGAGAGCTCCCCTGCACCCTTCACTGTCTGCAGGCAGTACCAGGAGTCCCATCCCTTTTCCTTCCGTGTGGCCGGACGCTGGGCAGGGGGCGAGCGAGCGGCAAGAGATGGCACAGGACTTCGGGGGCTCTGGTGGAGGCAAGTCAGGCAGTTCAACAGGGTCAGCCCGGCCATGGCCGATGCTGTGGTTACTGCCTTCCCTTCCCCCCGCCTTCTCTACCAGGTGGGTCCCCCGCGCCCCCCAGGTGTGGGGAGCCGCGTCCCCAGGGCCAGCCCTGCTCATTCCCACGCCTGCCCTAGGCATACGTGACCTGCAACACGGAGCGGGAGCGCATGGCCCTCCTGGCTGACCTCCCCGTGAAGACGGGCAACCGTGTACGGCCCCGCAGGGTGGGGCCCGACCTCTCCCGCCGCATCTGCCTCTTCCTGACCACCGCCAGCCCTGAGCTCCTGCTGGACCTGGGCTCCTGACCCCGTCCGTGGGGCCGGGAGGGCGCTCTGGCGCCCGCCGGCAGCACACCACCATCCGCCCTGCCCAGCGGGTAACCGGCAACTACCCGGGGGCCGAGGGAAGGGAACAGAACATTGCACGCGGCGGGGGTGGAGGTGGTGGTGCTCAGTCAGGTCTCGCCCCCCAGCCCCGAGGGAACGGTGCTCTGAGGAGCAGGAGCCACCACACTAGCCGGAGAGGATGGGGGTGGGGCTCCCGGGCCCTGGGTCCTGTCCCCAGCGGCTGGGCGGCTGGTGCCCTAGTGGAATGGTCAGGAAGGGGGGAGACACACCAGTCCTGTGGAGACGGGGTGGCGGGCCCCAGGACGCGGGCAGACAGGGTCTCCTGGAGCATGCAAGGTGGCCGGACCTGACGAGTGAAGAGTACCAGGCCGCATCCCACCACCAGCACAAGGCATTACACAAACACCGAGTTTATTAGGGTCGTTTCGGCCCCGGACGGGAGGAACAGCCGCTGACCACATGCAGAAGCAGGCTGGCGGCAGCCACGTGCTGCCTGTGCCGCTGTCCCCAGGCCCGTGGTCAGTCCCAAAGAGCCAGGGCAGGGCAGCCGCCCCCACACCCGGCGCAGAAGGCAGGTGCCCCTGGACAGTCCTGCTCTCAGGATCACCGGGCCCGGCCCAGCCTCGGGGCGGGGGAGGGGCAGAGGGAGCACCGCAGCTCCGCCCCTGCCTGCTGCCCTGGAGCGTGGCCCAAAGGGAGGGACGGAGAACACGCCGCCTCGGCCCGGAAAAGCAGTTCTCCTCGGAAAACAAGTTAGGTCCGTCGGCAGCGCTTCCTCTGGCAGCGCCGGGTCTCAGGGCCGCTGGGATCGGCCTTGGACTTGGGTGAGGGCGTGGGGGGCACGTGGCGGCCACAGCTCATGCTCAGGACCCAGCCCAGCTTGTGGCGCAGCACCTGCTTGAGGCCAGGCGGCAGGGGCAGGCCCTCCAGCGCGTCCCCGGAGTCGGGCCGCAGCTGGCGCAGGCGGCAGCAGCACAGGAACTGCAGGGACGTGGCGCTGGCGCACGAGCGGATCACCTTCATGCTGCTCTTGGCCGCCGTGGAGCACACCATCGGGTAGAACTTCTTGTTCTGCAGCTTGGTGGCCGCCACGCCTGCGGGAACAGGGAACACGGCCTGACGTCTGACCGGCTGGCGGGGCGCCCCCCCTCGGGGGCCCCGGGGCCTCGGGCTTCTGCGGGGGCAGCCCTTGGGGCAGCCCGGGGTGCTGGGCCCGGCCCAGGCTCTCGGCCGCCCTCACCTATGCGCTTCCTGTTCTTGAAGAAGGTGAGCGTGCCGTGCCAGGTGTCCAGGTGCACGCCGATGATGGAGCCCTGGCCGAATCTTGACGAGAAGCTCGTCTTGTCGCCCTTGTGGTGGAGGAGCCCTGGGGGGGGGGGGGGGGGCAGAGAGTTACCTTTTGTTAAAAGGGAAAGCATCTAGAAGCTGGAGGTCAANGGGGGGGGGGGGGGGTGAGCCGGCTGCCCCGCCCCCGCGCCCGCCCCCGCGCCGCCGCCCACGCACCCGTGTACGAGAGGCCCCAGCTGTCCTCGTCCCTGCCGAGCAGGCTGCAGAACGTGTGGTGATACTTGTCCAAGTCCACGTCCGACGTCCCGATGCCCACCATCTGGGGAGAGCAGGGCGGGTCGCGGGGGGCGCGCGGGGGGCGCGAGCCTGGGCTCCAGCGGCGCTCCCGGCCCCCCAGCCGCTTACCATGTCGGTGCCGTAGACGGGGGACGTCATCTTGATCTCCCAGAAGTGCTGGCCCTCCCCCAGCTCCTTGGTGCCCCGGATGGCCGCCGTGCCGCAGCTGTACTCCGTGTGGAAGCTGACCTTGCGGTTGTCACAGCTCAGCAGGGTGGCCGACGACTTATTCAGCTCGTCCCACACCCAGTCAAAGTCTGCAAGGGGCGAGCCGGGGCTGGAGGGGAGGCCGCCCCCCCCCCCCCCCCCGCACCGCCTCCCGGGGCCCCAGACGCTCACGCTCATCCTCCTCGCCGCAGCGACAGTCCTTGCCCCGGTGCCCTGCGCGCAGGCTGCTGCAGAAGGAGGACCCGCTCGGGCTGTCACAGTCACAGAAGGACTCCCCGGTCACTGGCACAGCGCTGGGGATGGGTGGCGGCGGGGTCGAGGACTCGGGGTCCGAGTCGGAGTCGCTGTGCTGGGAGGGGAAGCCTGGCTGTTCCAGTCTGGAGCGTCCTCCACCCGCCCTCCGCGGGCCCTCGGGTCAGCGCTCTAACCCCCAGCGAGGGCGCCCAGGCATGTGGCCTCAGAGGGCTTCCCAGGTCTCCTGCGCACGCACGCCCACCCCCTTGCCGGGACCACCCCCCGTGACCCAGGACAGCTCCAGCCTCCTGGCGGCGGGCCCAGGCTGAGCCGCTGGGGGCCGCCTGCCCGCTCAGCCGCTTCTTGTTCTCCATGTAGGCAGTTTCCAGGCCGAGGACGCGCGGCAGCCCCGCCGGAGCCCAGCCCCGGGGCCAGGGCCGCGCCAGCCCCTGGAAGGCTCTGCGCACAAGCGGCAGCTGGACTCCAGTAGGTGCCCCTCGCCATGCCAGTGCCTGTGCGCCTGCCTACTCTCCACGCGGTGGGGCCCGCGGCACCCCGTGGCCCCCTGCTGCCACTCTAAGCTGCTGCGGGAGGAGGAAAACAGAGTGGAGACGGGATCTCTGCCTGAAGAAGCCGGGCCCCCAAGGCGCGTGCTCCGTCTTGAGGGCCTAATGATGACCTGGGGCCAGATCCTTTGGCGCACAGAAGCGCTTCCTGTTCCGAAGACACAGGTCTCTCTGGCCACGTGCCTTAGCTGTGGACCCCAGGCCAAACCACAAGGCGCTAGGGTCTCGCCACCCAGGGCCCAGAGCGCACGGGCAGCCGCTGCAGGCTGGGGTCCTGGCCCGGCCCCGCGCTCCAACCCCCTCCCGGCCCCTGGGCCCTCCTCTTGCTCTCTGAAATGCCCTCCACACAGCAGGCCGACGGCCCCTGCTCAGACCTGAGCTGGGCCTGCCACACCTCAGCACCCTGCGCCCCGACAGGTGTCATGTCCACCCGCCTCCTACGGGGTGGGCTGGCTGCCTCTCTGCCCCTCGACCGCAGCTCCGCGGGTCCCGTCACAGAGGCTCTTCCGGCCCCTCCCTCCCATGCTCTGCTCCCTGGCCTGCCCATCTGCTTTCTCCCCCCAGAACAGAAGCCCCTGGAAAGAACCTGGTCCTTGTTTCTTTTCTATTTTGCCTGGGGCCGCAAGGCGGCCACACAGAAACCGTGCAGCAGAGGCTGAGAAGAGAATGAGAAGTTGCGGTCAGAAAACATGCCAAAGGGACACAGGAAGGAGACCCAAAGCACCCGCTACCATGGGATGCTGATCCCCCCCAAAGCCAAGGCACACTGGCTCTGCCAGCCAGAGGCCACCCCCAGCCCCTTTGCCAGTCGGGAGCTAGGGTCACACAGCAGAACAGGGAAGGGAAACGTGTGTCAGATGCTGTGCCCTGGCCCCTGAACACCTCCCGCATCTCCCAGTGATGAGCTGGCCAAGACGGGTGATGCCGGGAGCTGGGGCAGGACGGGATGCAGGGAGGGGCCCAGCGCAGCCTCCAGGTCCTCCCAGAACGCCTGGCCAGGCTGCGGCACTAAGGCGGGGTGGCTGTGACACGGCAGAGCCGAGTCACCCAAGCATCACCCCTACAGGAAGCCAGAGGGGACTCAGGGCAAAACCAAACCCCTGCCGAAGTGAAAAGAAGACTTGGGAACCCCGCGCTGCCAGTGGGCACAGTGGCCACGAGGCCCTGCGGCCCCATCCTGGCCCGGCCGAGCCGCTGCAGTGAGGCGCACAGGTGCACCAGGCACCCCAAACAGTGCAGCCGCTCCGTGGATGGCCCCGGCCCTCCCAGGGCTCTGGAATTGCCAAGTGAGGTTCTGGGAGTTTGGTCTCCAGAAATCAGAAGTCTTCCTACACACACGTGCACGCACACACAAACATCACATGCACGTGTGTCCGGGCCCAAGCATGCACGTCAGGTTAATGACAGCTCCCTTTGGAAAATGGTCCAGTGAGAGGAACAGAGAAGCTTTTGCTAAACAAACTGACAGAAAGCTGAGAGGACCGAGAAGGAAGCAGCATCTGCCCTGGGTCCTGTCACCCCAGGTCCCGTGAGGGTCCTTAACCGAGATAAACAGCTTGGGTGAGCACAGCGCACTCAGGAGACAGGAAGGCCCACCTTCTGCCGCTGGCGGCATCTTTTCAGTCCTGGCTCGGGCAGTGCCCGCCCCGGGCGTCCTGACCCCTTGGTCCAGCCATGCCCACCTCCCCCGCTAGGACCTACCTGCCCATCAGAGTCGTAGCCCCAGTTTGCGCTCCCTGCCAGAGCCACAGCCCGGGCGTCCGCGTCTCGGCGGGCTGCGCTCAGGACGAAATGCCAAGCAGTGCTGCTGCGAGGGCGCCTGGCCATGGTGGACAGGATCTGGAAGAAAACCCAGGCTCTGAGCAGAGATCTGCGGCAGCAACTCCCACGCTCCCTCCTCAGCCAGCGGCACCAGACCCATCTCGAGGTGGCCACTCTTGTGAGCCATGTGTGTGCCGAGCCAGGGCTCTGGAACTCTTTCCGACCTCACACCTCCCTCCAGCGTGCAAGCACCTTGATAAAAGCCAGGCAGAGCGCGCAGAACACCATCCAGACACCCATGACTGTCGAGTGCGTATCTCAGCCCCTGCGTGAGCTCAGCCTACTGAAACCAGCTGTCCAGCCTGCGTGTCCCTCAGGCATCTCAAACCTCGCCTGGCTCCTCCTCTGTCGTCCGGTTTGACAAATGGCATCTCCAGCCGCCCAGTTCCTCATGCCAGACCCACCGCAGTCATCCTGAACTCCCCTTTCCTTCCTTGGGCGGTAGCCTAACAGCCCCACATTGCCTCCAGGCCGTGCCCGGGACACCGCTCCATCCCTGCAGTGGCCCCGGCTTCCCGACCGCAGCTCACCTTCGTCCTGGATCCTCCCCTTCACTCATTACAACCAAGCTGTTTGGAAATACAAACCTTAAAAATTCAAACAACCCTTAACAAACCCTGAAACTTTTCCAGCCTCGCATCATTAACAGAAAATGCAAATTGCTGCAACATCTATTAAGTTCGCCTGTGCTCCCACAAGCCACAAGGGCCCCGCTGCAGTTGCTGGCCCTGCCCTGCCCTTTGCCCGGAATGCCCTCCCCCCCGCCCGGGGCTCGCAGCTTCCCGGCCGGCTTCTGTAACCGCCCCGGCGGCCCCCTGCACCGACAGCTTCCGGAGCCCAGGCGCCCCCGCCCGCCAGGCGCAGGTGGCGGCCCCGCAGCGGCGCACAGCAGGCGACGCGCTTCCGACACGGGCCCGCGGGTGTCCGCCGCCGCGCGGTGGCGGAAATTGAGACGGAGCCGGTTGGCACCGCCGCCCCCCCGCCGCCAGCGGTACCACCAGGCCGGCGGGCACGTACGCCGCCCGGCGCCGCTCACCTGCCGCCGCCGCGCTCCGCCGGGCGGCCGTGACCTACTTTCGGCTCCCGAACGAGACGTAAACAATCCCCGCCCCTCAGCCCGCCCCCCGCGCCGCATTGGCCCCGCTGCCGCGGCCCGGCGCCGGCAGGCGCAGGCGGCCCTGGTCAGGGGGCGGGCCGCGCGGCACATGCTTCCGGCCGACAGGCTGCGGAGCCTGTCAATCCTGACTCGACGTCCCTATTGGTCACACCTCCAGGCGTCGGAGAGAGGGTCCGTGCGCCCATTGGACGAGGGCGAGGAAAAGCCTAAGACGGATATGAGTCCATCTGCGGTTCGTCGTCCGCCCCGGAACCTGCGTGAACCTTACGTGAGACGTGATTGGCTGAGCGCCGCGCAAGCGGCCCCACCCGGACGGCGCGGGGGCGGCCGCTGCGCGCGGGAAGGGGAAGGCGGCCGCGGGGTGCGGCAGGATGGAGGCGTTGGCGGGTGAGCGCGTGGGGTCCGCGGCAGCGGGAGGGCCCGGCGCGCAGCTGCGGGTCGCGGCCCCGGCTTTTCAGACCGCGGGCGGGCAGGTGTCCCAGGGCGGGTGCCGGGCGCGGGGCCTCCGTGCTGCGCCGCGTTCGTCCGATCGGGGGCCTGCCGGTGCCGGAAGGTCGGAGGCTCAGGTTGTAGCCGACGTGCCGGCAGGGGTTTGGTTTAAACGCGGGTCCCAGCACGAACCGGGGCGTCTCTTCCGGTTCTGCGGGAAGTGTGAGGGTGGCTTTCCAAGGGCTGCTGTGAGGAAGAGGTGTGCGGGGCGGTGCAGCGCGGCGCACGCAGCGGCGGCTGGAGGCCGTCTGGGGCCCGGGCCCGTGCGCGGGGGAGACCTGGGGCAGGCGCTGTGTGCCTCTGTGACGACGGCCCGCCGGGAGCCGGGCCACTTGCCCCTCTCGGCTCTTCCAGGGGAGGCTTTAGAGGCAGGGGCCTCTGAGCCTGCCGTGCAGGGTGCGGCAGGGGCGCGGTATGAGAGCGTTGCTTGCTGAGCGCCCCGAGGAGCCGGCTCGCCGTGGCGGTGACGGGGAAAGCCGCACGTTGGAGACTGGGAAGCAGTCTGGACGGTGAGGTCCAGAGGGCACTGAAACGACCGCACGAGAGTCTTGCAGAGGCTTCGGGATGCTGAACATTCGATGGCATTTCAGCCCCACTGAAAAGAGAGGGGGCTGGGGCGGAGGGGCCAGTGGCCGGCAGGGATCCACAGCTGCTGGGCCCGGGCGCTCATGGGAGGAGCCAAGGATACGGGTGCAAACTGTGGCCGCCCTCATGTCCGTGGGGTTTAAGGCAAGTTCTGAGCCAGAGAGGTGGTTGTGCCCCCCACGTGAGCTTGAGGAGGTTCCGTCCCGGGAGCTAGAAGTGTCCTTCCTGAGAAGTGGAGGAGGCCGGGCACCTGGAGTGGTGCTTCCGACCCCAGGAGAGCAGGCAGGGCACCCACAGATCAGTCCTGGGTCCTAGGAGGGGGGTGGGGCCGCCCCAGCACAGATGCACCTCCCGTCTGTAAGGATGAGTTTAGTCGCCAGTGTCTTACGTCTCTTGCCTATTTCTCAATGGAATCAGCTGGGAGTTGGGCAGCCCCTCGCGGGCCACGTGTGTGTGAGCTGACAGGTGTGCAGCGTAAAGGGGCGGTTCGAGGCCTGGCTGCAGGCAGGGGCTGTGGCAACAGCATTCAGGGAACCCGTGGGTCAAGCCTGGGGCTGGGCGGCCGTAAGACCTTCCACCTGGGGTGTTTGCTGATGTCAGGGTGAGGGCGCAGGTCTCAGAATCTGGGGCGTGGGAAGTGCTTGGCGACCGCTCGGTGAGTGAGCCTTGAACCTGTGGCGCGAAGGGGATCCTCTGCCCTCCCCCCTCCTGGCTAGAGGCTGGAAACCTGGCCGGCGTCCAGCACATCATCCTCGTCCTCTCAGGAAAAGGGGGGGTCGGGAAAAGCACCATCTCCGCGGAGCTGGCCTTGGCCCTGCGCCATGCGGGCAAGAAGGTGAGCCCCCCCAGCCCGGCCCCTGCGCGAGCCGCCCTCCCGCCCCTGCCCTGGGAGGCCCCTGCGTGGCGTGGACGTCCGGCCTCCTTGCAGGTGGGGATCCTCGACGTGGATCTGTGTGGCCCCAGCATCCCCCGCATGCTCGGAGCACAGGGCAGGGCCGTGCACCAGTGTGACGGCGGCTGGGTGCCCGTCTATGTGGACCAGGAGCAGAGCATCTCCCTCATGTCTGTGGGCTTCTTGCTGGAGAACCCCGACGAGGCGGTGGTGTGGAGGGGCCCCAAAAAGAACGGTAACGGGGGTGGGGAGAGGCCCGCCAGCCTTCCCACCCGTCCCCACTGTTCCATTAGAACGTGCGAGAGCCACGGGCCCTCCTCCCTGCGTTGCTGGGTAAAGGCAGAGGCCCCCACAGCAGGCGGTTTCCAAGACGGTCCGCTGCTCACCGGAGCCACCAGGCCCACACGGGGGGACGGGAACTGGGGGCTTCGGGGGCGCCCGTGCGGGCTGTCGCTGCAGGCCGCCGCCTCTCCTGCTGCCAAGGCCTGAGGTGTACCCGGGTCCGGGCGCGGACACCCCAGGAGGGTCACAGCGCCTGCTAAGGCCAGAACAAGAGTGTTGGGCCCGGGAAGGAGCCTCCCTGCCGCACCACGTGCACCCCGCTTTCTGCGGGAACGGCTTGCTGTGCTGCAGGGGGGCGGCCCCTCTGCCGGAGGCTGCCCGCAGGCGGGGGGCTTGGCGGCCACCCCCCCAGGGGACCCGGCCTCACCTGCCCCCGGCCTCCCCGGGTCACTGCAGCGCTGATAAAGCAGTTTGTGTCCGACGTGGCGTGGGGGCAGCTGGACTACCTGGTTGTTGACACGCCGCCGGGGACGTCCGATGAGCACATGGCCGCCGTGGACGCCCTGCGCCCCTACAGCCCCCTGGGGGCCCTCGTGGTCACCACGCCCCAGGTACCCCGTGAGCTGCTCCCGTCTCCCGGAGGTCTGGGACCCTACCCGGGGCCAGGGAAGTGACCCACGGGCACGGTCCTCTCTCCCTCTGTCTCAGGCGGTGTCCGTGGGGGACGTGAGGAGGGAGCTGACCTTCTGTAGGAAGACGGGGCTGCAGGTGCTCGGGGTGGTGGAGAACATGAGTGGTTTCGTCTGCCCACACTGCGCAGTGAGTCGTGGGGACTGGGCGGGGGTCACCAGCCCCGGAGGGGTCAGGCGCCCTGGGACAGCCCTGGACGACCCGACCTGCCCCCTGCCCGGGAGGCGGCGGGGAGCCCTTAGGCAGGGAGCGCACGGCTCTGTTGTAGGAGCGCAGCAGCGTCTTCTCCCAGGGAGGCGGGCAGGAGCTGGCCCGTCACGCCGGAGTCCCCTTCCTGGGTGAGTGCATCCGCCTGCGGGCCCTCTGGCTGGCTCTGGGGACGCCTTTACGGGGACCCCCCCCCGCCCTCACGGTCCCTCCCCTCTCCCTTCGCAGGCTCCGTGCCTCTGGACCCCGAGCTCACTAGGAGCCTGGAGGAGGGTGGAGACTTCATCCGGGAGTTCCCTGAGAGCCCCGCCTTCCCCGCGCTCCTGTCCATAGCCCAGAAAGTTCTGACTGAGGCGCCTGCTCGGCTCTCGTGACTGAAGTGCCCCACTCCGCCCGGGTCTCCTGGCCGCGCACGCCCAGAGCCAAGCAGAGGGGGTGTGGTGCCAGCATCTTCCCGCCCCAGCCCTGCCCCTGGAGCCTGTCCGGTGCTCCGGTAGCATCTGGATGGCAGAGTGGCCGACAGTGAGTGGCTCCCCCAGGTTGGCCTGTGGCCGGGCCCAGGAGGAGGTGTGGGGCCCTGGTGGACTGAGCTGTGCCGTGACGGCTCGTTCCCGCCTCCCCTCACGGTGCTCCCGCGCACCCGACCCGCAGCCAGGCTGCCCCTGGCAGCCATGTGAGCTGGGCCACAAAGCCCCTGTGTCTGGAAAGTTGCTGGGGCCTCTGCTGTCCTCGGGGTCCCCGTGCGTGATGGTGGTGATGGAAGGGAGCGTGTCGCGAGGAGTTAAGCTTGTCACTTGAGACAAACCCACCATTAAACCTTTTCCACCGCCGCGATTACAGGTCTGATGCTTCCAGACTATCCTGCCCTGCCTGGCTCTGTGTTTGTGTGTTGCACGCCTCCCCCTCAGGCAGCCCTGGCCCTGAGCCCCCTGGAGACGGCTGGGTCAAGTGTGGCAGCCGCGTGTGGAAAGCTTGGTGATGGTGGAGAGGCACGTGTAGTTGGGGAGGCTCAGTCCCTGCCGCCACGGGGCCGGGGGCAGAGCCTAGAACAGGGGAGAGGAGTGAGGTGCTTCCTGGGGGTCAGGGGACAGGGACGGGCACGCACGGTAGACGCTTCCGGGTGGGGGGAGGGGCAGCCACGGAAGCACTGCCGAGGGGTTTGGCCGGGAGCTGGGGGGAAGGACCGATGTCCCAGCTGGCCACGAATAGAGGCCACCCCGGCTGTGCCGCAGCTTCCCAGGACCAGGGCCTCCATGGCCACTGCCCGAAGAGGACAGCCGAGGTGCTGGGGCCCCGGAGTGGGTGATGCCGCCCCTCAGATGGGGGGGGCAGGATGGGGGTCCGGGATAGAACTCCTCTTCCCCCCAGGCTGCACGCCTGCAGTCACACACGTGTGTTAGGTTGCTTTTAATTACTGATGGTGGCAAGGGGCAGGGAACCTGTGTGGTGGCGGCGCCCCCACCAGCAGAGCCCCCGGGCTGCACCGGGTCCCCCGGGGACGGGACACGGGCAAGTGAGTGGGTAAGGCCCAGCCCCCGAGGGGGACGCTGTGGCCCCGCCAGGCTCGGGGCCGGCGAGCCCCGGATCAGCAGTGAGCGAAGTGGGCCTCAGCCACGTCCCGCAGGTCGAGGCCTGCGACAGCGGCGGGGCTGGCGCAGGTGATGTTGTTGTAGGCGTACACGGGCGGCTGGCCGTCATCGCCCTCGGGCATGGTCTGCACGAAGCGGGGGACCGCTTCCGGCTGCTGCAGGGCCAGGGCCCTCAGGGCCCGCAGCGGGCAGCCACAGTCCCAGGGGTTGCCCTCCAGCCACAGGCGCTCCAGGCCGGGCGCCCGCGGCACGAAGGTCCGCAGGGAGTTGTTCCTGAGGCTGAGGTAGCGCAGCTGCGCCAGCGGCGCCAGCACGTCCTCGGGCAGGGCCTCCAGGCAGTTGTGCGACACGTCCAGCCAGAAGACGCGGCGCAGGGGCGCCAGCACGTCCGCCGACAGCGCCGCCAGCTGGTTGCCGGCCAGGAGCAGGTACTCGAGCTTGCCCAGGCCCTGGAAGAGCTGGCCGGGCAGGTGCGCCAGCCGGTTGGCGGTGAGGTCGAGCTCCAGGAGCTCCGCGAGCCCCCACAGGCCCTGCTCCTCCACCGCCGCGATGCCGCTGTCGCGCAGGAAGAGCCGGCGCAGCCCCGAGAGGCCGGCGAAGGCGTGCGCGCGCACGCGGCCCAGGCAGCTGCCCTCCAGGTGCAGGCTGTGCAGGCGGCCCAGGCCGCGGAACACCTGCTCGGGCAGCGCGCGCAGGCAGTTCCCGGACAGGTTCATGACCGCCACGCTGCGCAGGCCGGCGAAGGCGCCCGCCTCCACCTCCCGGATGCGGTTGTGGTGCAGCGCGAGCACCTCCAGCTGGCGCAGGCCCTCGAAGGCCCTGTCGGGCAGCAGCCCGATGCGGTTGTGGTCCAGCTGCAGCTCCTCCAGGAAGTGCAGGTCCTTGAAGGTGCGCGGCCGCAGGCCAGCGATGGCGTTGTGCGACAGGCGCAGCACGTGCAGGCCCAGCAGGCCAGGGAAGGTGTCCTCCAGGAGGCCGGCCAGGCGGTTGTGGGACAGGTCCAGCCAGCGCAGCGCCTTCATGCCCAGGAAGGCGCCGGGCGCCACGGCGGCGATGAGGTTGTGGTCCAGGTAGAGCTTCTGGAGCTTGGGCAGCTTGACGAAGACGTTGGCCTTGACGCTGCGCAGGGCGTTCCTGCTCAGGTCCAGCTCCCGCAGCTCGCCGAGGCCGCAGAAGAGCGGGGGCTGCAGGTAGGCCAGCTTGTTGCCCGCCAGCACCAGCTCGCGCAGGCCGGCCAGGCCCTGGAAGGCGGCGTCGGGGAGCACGGCCAGGCTGTTCCAGCCCAGGTTGAGGCCCCAGAGGCCGGCCAGGCCCTGGAAGAGGCCCTCGTCCACCCTGCCGAGCAGGTTGTTGCTGAGGCCGAGCGAGGCCAGGCCCGGGGTGTGCAGGAACGTGCGGGCCGCCAGGCCGCGCAGCTGGTTCCGCTCCAGGTGCAGGTGGCGGAGGCTCTGCAGGCCGAGCAGGGCCCGCGGCTCCAGGCTGGCCAGCCCGCTGCCCTGCAGGTTGAGGAAGCTCAGACTCGAGAGGTTCTGGAAGGCCGCCGCGGGGATGGAGGAGAAGTTGTTGCCGTCCAGCCACAGGGCCCTGGCGCCGTCCGGGATGCCGTCGGGCAGCCGCGTGAGGTTCCTGGAGCTGCAGAAGACGCTGAGCTCGTCCGAGTAGTCCTCGTGGCCGCAGGCGCACGCGGCCGGGCACTGCAGGCGCTCGGGCTCCGCTCCCTCCAGGCCGCAGGGGCCCAGCGCTGCCCAGGAGACCAGCAGCACGGCCAGAGCCGGGCCTCCTGCGGGGAGAGGGGCCGGAGGAGGGGAGCCCTGGGGTGAGCGAGACGCGGAACGTTCCAGGCCTCAGCCCGCGCCCGTCGTCCAGCCGCGGAACTCGGCACCGAGGTGGCGGCACGTGACTGTAGGGCAGGCGCTGCCAGCCGGGCCGTAGGAAGGTGGGAGCCGAGTCGCACTCGCCCCGCCGGAGCCGGCAGCCGGGCCACACAGAACAGCTGCCCTCTCCACCCGGCACGGTGGCCATGCCACTCGCAGAGCAACCCTGACCGTTGAGCTGTGCGGCCGCCTGCATCTCCAACGTGGGCACTCGAGTGAGGCCAGGCTGCCAGGTGGGCCTGGGGGGCGGGGGGCGAGAAAGGGCTTCCTGGCGCGGGCCTGGGGGGGTTGCTCGCTGCCCCGAGGGCCAGCCGGTGCCCCCTGATTGGGGGACCCTCACCCGCATGTTCCGTGTTATATGCGCCTCCTGTCCAGGACAGGGCCCGGTACCAGTGTGGGGGCAGGAGCAGAGGGACAGGGACTCTGTGTCATCTACTCACCAGATCAGGGGTGTTTTAGGATGAAGGGCGCTGGGCCTCCCAGCAGCACCACCGCGAAACCTGCGTTGAGCCCTGGGCTGCCCGCAGGACCGGGCCTGTCCCACCCTTGGAAGGACTCAGGGAGGCAGCATGAGGCCAGAGGATGCGCCAGCCCCCCGTGGGTGCAGCTGGGCCCGGGGGGTGGGGGGGCACCTCATGCCCTTCCCCTGTGCCCCTGTCCTGGGCCCCGGGGCCAGAGTGGACGGGGACGGTGAACAGGCACTCTGGGACCCCAGCACCGACACTTCTTCCATCACCCGCCCGGAGCTGGGGCCGCCCCTGGCTGGGTGGACTCGGAGGCACAGGCTTGGCTGTCCCCAGAGCAAGGGGCTGGGGCACTTGGGGGCACCTCACCTCTCTTCAGCGCCATCCTGAGTGCAGAGCAGACCACAGGCCGACTGAGCAGGGGTGCGTCCGCTGGGGCCGGCTGCTCCTGCCCTCTGACTTCCCCACCGCCTGGGCAGCCAGCACCCTGCCGCCGGCCAGCCCAGCCCCGCTGGCCCGGGTTCTATTAACCCCCTCACGCCCGGCCGCCAGCGTCAGCCCCGAGTGCCCAGGGTGCACATGGCACAGCGGAGAGGCGGGTGAGGGGGCCGCGTTCACCCCGAAACCACCTTCGGGGTTCGAGGCGGTTCGTGGTGCAGCTCTCAGGGCCCAGCCGGTCCCCCCTCCTCCCCCTGCAGGGCTGGGCAGGGCAGAGCCGGGGCAGCAAGCGTGGATGGGGCAGGGGTCTCCCCTGCAGCAGCCTGTGCCCAGCTGGCACTCGGGACAGGTTAGGAGAGGCGGGGAAAGGAGGCCCCGCTGCTTGGCCAGCCCCCTGCCCCGGGGTGGGGCCCCCACGGGCAGCTGTGGGGGACCTCCCCGCTCAGCAGATGGCCACGTGGGAGTTAAATAGGAGATGGGTCTGGCCTGCTGACCACCCCTTCCCTCCCCCTGTCCATTTCCTAACAGCCTGGGTGGGGTCCTCATTAGGACTCCCCGGGGCTTCTGCGACCTCAGGGTCAGCCGGTGTCTGGCCACGCCCCCCCCCGCCTCTCCTAGGAACACCAGCCGGGCCCCCGGCCACCTTGTGTTTGCTTTCTCTAGCACTGCCCTCCCGGGAAAAGCAGAGGGCGGCCCGGCCTTGGGGCTGCAAGACCAGCCTCCACCTGCTTCGGGACCCCTGCTGTCCTCAGAGCTGTTGTGGGGGCACGGCCACCTCGCTCTGCACAGGATGGTGGCCCAGTGCCTGGCCTGAGGGCAGCCCTGGGTCAGGCCAGGAAGAAGGTGGGCAGCAGGACCCTGGCTGCTGAGCGAGGAGAGCCCCGCCGGCCTTCATCCACCAGCCTCTGCTCTTCCTGCTCAGACCCCCTCTTCCCTGGGGGGCAGGGCTTGCCGAGGCTGGGAGATTCCAGTGTGACTCCCCCTGCGAGGCGGAGGCAGTGGGGTCGCAGCCCCGTGGAGAGGGCAGTGGGCCACTGCGGCGCCCCTCCCCAGCCTCCCCCTCTCCTTGCCCCTGCCCTGCCTGAGCTGCCCGTGCCTAGGGGTGGGGGCAGCTTTATCTTTCCCTTTATTGAGCTTTGATTGATTTCCAGGCCTTGTCTCAGCCTCTGTTCTGAGAAATTATAGATCTGCCGGGAGAAAGTCCACGCCCAGAAATTTACACGGTAAACACGCGTTTACACAGCACAAAGTGCGGACTCAGCACCTCCGTGGCCGAGGACCGTCGGCGGGAAGGGAGGGCGAGCATGGGGAGGGAACTGGGCGGGGCCTGGGTGTCCGTTTCTTACACCTTTCTGGAGAACTCGGGGGGCTGGGCGTTTCAGCGACGCTAGCCGGCCCCAGGCCCCCCCGGAGCATCCTGTCCTGGCCACCGGGTCCCTTGACACACTCGCCACGCTGGCGGTTGACCA